CAAAACACTACCTGATGAAATAATGAGGAAAAAGAGGTCCTATAGAAGACAAACATGCTCATTATAGAACAAGTGGATAAATAGAAGAAACTATTCACACGTTATCTTATTACTCAGAAATAACCTCTATATTGTGTTTTATGTCCTTCCAGATTTTTTTCTTACACATTCTTCCAAGTAGTGTGATAATGATGCACTTAAAAAAAACTTTTTTTAAGTCACATTTATTAAAGTGTAATTTACATTTAGCAAAACTCACCCTGAAATTTGAAAAATGCAGTCACCATCATAATCAGGATGTAAAACATTTCTTCAAAACTCCCTTCTGCCACTTTGCAGTTAAACCCACCCTGATCCTTAAGAATCCATTGATCTGTTTTCTGTCAAAAGGATCGCATTTAATCATTAAAATGATCTGTTGTGGAAAAATTTGTAAGCAAACAAAACCAAATTTTTAGAAGTTTACTTTGAAACATCTTTAGGACAGTCAAAAGAATGGGATTTAAAAATAACCTTTGCAAATTAAAGCACAGTTGACAAAGTTGTCAAGATAGTTGTAGCTAATCTAGTTATGTCAGGCTTCAGGCAGGGGCTGGTTGGTAGAAAGACTAAATAATAAAATGGAATTTTACAAAATTCTCTGGGGCCGATAGATATTCTTACAGATATTTGGTACCTTCTTAAAATTCACCCTTGCTACTACTGTGAAAGGGACAAAGAAAGTAAAAGCCTCTATTCTATTTATATTAGTTGGCACATGTTCAAATACATCTTACCTACTTTAAAAGCTGCTTTTGAGCACCAGCCCTGAAGCTCATTAGCATCTTGAACTGGACTGAGTGGAGTCGCATGTTGTGGCTGAAAGGGCAATGCATTTTTTTTTTAAAGTGTTCTATCTTAATTTGAAGAAGTTTAAGGATTTAGTATTTTTGTGATCAAGGCAGTTTTCTGAAATAGATACTATAGATGAATAAAAGGAACCACACATAAAGGAATTTTACTTCCTTTTTTTTTAATTCAGTAACAAAATGTTTTAGGTGTCATAAAGAGATTTGGATTAGATTTTTTTGTTTGTTTAGAATGCAGTGACTAATTTATACTAATTTATACTACTAATTTTAGGAAGCATTCAAAGCTGTGGAAGATATTCATGGACTATTCACCTTGTCTAAAAAACCACCTAAACCTCAGTTGATGGCAAATTACTATAATAAAGTCTCAACTGTGTTTTGGAAATCTGGAAATGCTCTTTTTCATGCATCTACACTCCATCGTCTTTACCATTTATCCAGAGAAATGAGAAAGAATCTTACACAAGAAGAGATGCAAAGGTAAGAATGTTACAGTCAAATAATACTGAAATTATGAAATAAATACCTTCTACTAAATGGCATGGTTCCAGGTTAGGGTTTCTGAACCTCTGCACCATTGACATTTGGGGCTGGATAATTTACTGTTGTGGGGGACTGCACTTAGGATGTTTTGCAGCATCCCTAGTACACCCACTGGATGCCGGCAGTAATTCTTCCACTTTTCACTGTCAGAAGCGTCTCCAGACATGGTTGTTCTCTGGTAGTATTCTTGGTCTTCAAGTAACTGTCTTTTGTCTGATAACCAACTCTGCCAAAAACCTGATTGAGAAAATTGAATATTAGGAAAGACAGTGTTATGGTATGAGGTTTCTATCCATATACGGTGTTTAAAATCTAGTCTTAAGACAAACAAGAGAATTAAAGAAATAACTGCTGCCATCAAGTCACTTTTTCCCCTGATTATAAAATATAACTGAGTGTGTGTTTGAATATAGAGAAGGGGTCTATAACCTAGCAGTCTAAAAACCACTTTTATTATTTTTTTTAACAATACATGCAGTGTATTTTCTTTCAATCATGTTCGTTTTTTTTAGTATGTTTCAGTTGGACTCAGGGAGCTCGCAGACCACACTTTTTTTTTTTTTTAAATGTTTTATTTATTTATTCATGAGAGTCAGAGAGAGAGAGAGAGAGAGAGAGGCAGAGGCAGAGGGAGAAGCAGGCTCCCCGCCCAGCAGGGAGCCCGATGCGGGACTCGATCCCAGGACCCTGGGATCATGACCTGAGCCGAAGGCAGACGCTTAACCATCTGAGCCACCCAGGCGCCCCCACACTTTTTTCTCTTACTGGCAGATCATGTTATTTTGGCCTCTAGTAGAATTATGTACACCAAATTGTTTTTCTTCTAGCTTTACAGCAATTATAGGAACCAACTAAATGAATTTTCCTAGTATATTTTCTTTGAAACTCTTAAGGACCATCCATGTTCATTATGTCATTCACTGTCCTTTATGTAATCAATGTCTGAGATTAAAAAAACAAACTTGGGTTCCTTTAAGGTACTTCTGTACTGTCCCTTTAGAAAATGCTGTAATAACAGTATTATAATAATAAACATTAGGCTGTTTAACTCTATGTACATAATTTGCTTAATCTTTACAACAGCCTTCTGACTCAGAAAATTAAGTATCTTGCCTTAGGTTCCAGTCCTGGAAATGGTGAAGCTGAGATTCTAACTCTTGTCCCTTGTGCTCCAGAGCCCACTATCCTTAATGTCCTATAGTGCTCTGAATTCAACCTGACTTTGCTCTTGTGTTCTAAGGAAGCTAAGATTTAGCCCCACCACGAATCCTTCACTCCCCCAACCCCCCAGTCATGTTCACTTATGATCCTTGTAAGTTTTTCCCCTTTATTCATGTCATTTTTTTCCCTTAATTTTTAAAGCTGCCTTAATTGTTTTTCTAAGGAAGCATCAGGTATACAAATGTACCTATTCTACGTTTTAAACCCACAGCCTTTTTCTATAGCTGGCAAATATTGACAGTAAGTGGGTGGGTGAAGTTCGGCTCCTCCCAGGTATTCATTTTTGCACAGTTCATTTCTCTTCATCTCATGTTTTGATGAATAACATATATGAATACAGTCCGCCAGTATGGCGCACATATTCTGTCACTGGCGTATCTTACCAGACAATTAAAGAAGTGGTTTTTTTTTAAATCAGGTGACATTTATGAACTTAACAGATTTATAATTTTGTTCTCCAGAATGTCTACCAGAGTCCTTTTGGCCACTCTTTCTATCCCTATTACTCCTGAGCGTACTGATATTGCTCGACTTCTGGATATGGACGGCATTATAGTCGAAAAGCAACGTCGCCTTGCAACACTGCTAGGTCTTCAAGCCCCACCAACACGAATTGGCCTTATTAATGATATGGTTGGTATAAGTTTGAGCATTCTTACAGCTCAGAATAAAAAACTTTATGGTCAGATTTTATAATTCATGCCAGGTGGTTCTGATGGACTAGTTTGAGTCCTCATTGTACCCATAGATACGTGTAGAAATTTATAAGAAGGGTACCGGTTGAAGTCAGGTGAATAGATTAGCTGACTGAGCCTATCTTAGCATATTTCCTCTTTGGACAAGGGATGTTAAATGGAGAATCTAGAATAATTTCTTGATAGGAATAAAATTAGAGCTGGGAGAATTTTATTTGAATGCTTAAACCACAGCTAATTTCAATACAGATATAAGGGCATTTATAAGGGGAAGTATTCAAGAAATGTGGAACATCAGTCATGCACCCATTTTGTATTGGAGATCGAGTGTTCGTGTGTGGGGATAGGATCTGCGGTTGTTTGCCTCAGTCTTGTGACTAAATAGGTCTGTATGGGAACACACTCCTGTGCTTGCAAGTCTTGCTGTGTCCCTTCAGTTAGTCTCTTGTTAGGTTAGCAGTCCCAACATGGGAAGGATAAAGGTCCACATGCATTAGGTATTCTAGAATGTTTATAGCTAAGGTAAGGTAAGAGTTATGGGCAGTTTTGAGGTTTATGAAATTAGGCCACTTTTTTGTCTCCTTTTAAGAAACGTTATGCAGTGGCACCCTTAGCTGAGTTCTAGTCCCATATAAGAATATAAATCATAAATATAATTGGGTAAATTCTCATAAGGTGGTTTCTAGTCACCACTCCCCACCCCCCCAGTAGCCACTGCCCTGATTTGTAACACCTCATATTAGTTTGCCTGTGTACTTTGTATGAGATTTAAGTTCTATATATATGCAATAATATGTTAAATTCTTTTTCTTACCATTATATTTGTGAGATTTATTTACATGTTGAATGTAGCTGTTTTTTCTTCGATCATTTCTGTACAAGAACATCTTATTGGGGCGCCTCGGTGGCTCAGTCATTAAGCATCTGCCTTTGGCTCAGGTCATGATCTTAGGGTCCTGGGATCCAGCCCCACATCTGGCTCCCTGCTCAGCAGGAAGCCTGCTTCTCCCTCTGCCCCTCCCCCTGCTCATATTTTCTCTCTCTCTCAAATAAATAATCAGTCTTAAAAAAAATCTTATATGTACTGTAGTGTTGCTGTGGTGATTTTTGTGTGATAGTTACTTGTAAGCTGTGGTATTTTATTTATTACTGGTAATAAATTAGCTTGTATACATGAGTTGTCTTTGTTTTTTTCTTTTTTTTTCTTTTTAAGATTTTATTTATTTATTTGAGAGAGAGAGAGAGCATGAGAGGAGAGAGGGTCAGAGGGAGAAGCAGACTCCCTGCTGAGCTGGGAGCCCGATGTGGGACTGGATCCTGGGACTCCCGGATCATGACCTGGGCTGAAAGCAGTCGGCTAATCAACTGAGTCACCCAGGCGCCCTACATGAGTTGTCTTTGTAAATATCATTGATCATGTTGAGTTAGAGTTTTTATATCCTTATTAAGCTCTTGGGGGACTTTGCACTGTAGGTACATGCATAATTTGGGGTTAGAGACCCAAACATAGTTTTCCTTTGAATTCCTCTGATGAATTTAAGGAGAGTTGAGGCCAGTTTTTCAGACGTTTTCCAGATTTCCAATCCCCTATTTTTCTTACTTATACTCAGTTCACTTGGAAATCTAGTTGGAAAATTTCCTTCAGCAAATTAAACTTTCTGTTTATTGTAGGTTAGATTCAACGTACTACAGTATGTTGTCCCTGAAGTGAAAGACCTTTACAATTGGCTGGAAGTAGAATTTAACCCACTAAAACTCTGTGAGAGAGTCACAAAGGTAAGACTTTGTTTTTTAGTTTTGGTTATACTACCATATAGCTGGCCATTTTGCTATTTCATATTTATATTGAGGGAGAAGTATTGTCCTATATGTTTGAATTCAGTGCACATTTCATTATCTTTTTTTCTTTACATCAAGAAAAAAGATATTTCTGATGTGCTAAATAACCCTTTGGAGGTAAATTAGCAGCATGACTAATTTAGCCATTGCTGTCAGTCACCTTCAGACAAGCCTCCGTATAGCTTTGTATTTGTGTATTTCCTTGCACTGTGTGATGTTTTTATATGTTTAAATTTAGAAAAGTTTCACAAATGTTTAAATGTTACTTAGAAAGTATAATTATTTTTTTAACATACTGGATTGTGCAGGTTCTGAATTGGGTTCGGGACCAACCTGAAAAGGAACCAGAGTTGCAGCAGTATGTTCCACAGCTGCAAAACAATACCATACTCCGTCTTCTGCAGCAGGTATTTCTCCCCTTGATTGTTTTTATCACAACACGAAAAAATTTTGGAATCACTAGGGAGTGAACCCTTCACCAAACTCTATCCTTACCAAATTAGTCTTACTATTTATTTGATTTGAAAAACAGTTATTTTATGTAATTTGTAATTGCTTTTTTCTCCTTTATTGAACACCATCTTTGTACATTATTCCTCATTAACATAATGCAAATCTATTTTACTCCTTTTAATACCTTTGTGGTGTTACATTGTCTAAAGGGTACTGTGATTCATTTATTCAGACTCTTTTGATGGAAGTGTATTACTAGGGGTTTTTTTGCTATTAGAAAATGTTGCAGCAGTGAACATTTCCATACATGTATCTTTGCATACTTCTGTGGCTTTCTGTCATCTAGGAAGTGAAATTAGTCACAGGGCTTACACATTTAAAGCTTTAATAGCTCTTCAAGATTCAGTTAATGAACCCTCCTACCAGTAGTGACTGGGAAAGCCTTTTCTCTTACAATAGTTATTGTTAGTCTTTTAACATATTTTAGTCTGACTTCTGTAAGTTTGAAGATTATAGTTTAGGGGCGCCTGGGTGGCTCAGTTGGTTAAGCGACTGCCTTTGGCTCAGGTCATGATCCTGGAGTCCCTGGATCGAGTCCCGCATCGGGCTCCCTGCT